GACAGCTTGGAGTAAGACAACATGCATGAAGAGGATGATGTGGACAAAATACTCATTTGCCTAATAATTCTGCACTCCCTGTAGTTGGTGCTAGAACTATGTCTCTTCCTGTTTCCTCTTGACCTGGGTTGTTCTGCTTAAGCCAACACATTGCCAGAGTCATGTCAAGGAGTGGTTTAGGTCCATGTGTTGGAGCTAACAGCCCGAGAAATTTAGATTCATATTCACAAACTAGCTAATCCCGAGGCTGCTCTTCATGGGCCTTAGCTAGTTGCCACATAAGCCCATAAGTAAACTTTTAATCATCCTTCAGATGACTTGTCTATGCACTATCTTTAGATCAGCAACTTCACCACGGTTGGCTGTGTGCTGTGATGTTGTGCTGAGTAGCCATCCTGCCTGACCATCACTGAGCCTCCTCGTTGTTGGTGTGCATTGGTTCTACCTCATGCACCCTTTTCTCAGTGTTCAGAGGATCTATGCCCTGTTTTGGCTTCAGAATATCATACGCAGAGGTCCCACTATCATGTTATATATTTAGGCTTATTAGACTAATTTGGTTCAGTTACAATCTTGTCATTCCAAAAAATCCGATCTTCATTTCTAATGCATGAACATTAATCAGCAGAATGTAACTACCTCAATGTTATTAATCATTTGTTGATTTTGTAAAGTTTGTGGGAAACTTGTTAAAAAGCATACAAGAGTGAAAACAGATATTTATTGAAAATTTATATAAATGAACCTGTTTTGGATACTTCCTGAAAAAATATATGAAAGTAATGAGAAAGTGGCCACTTTCATGTGTAAGTCATATAAGTCTTATATAATTCAGTATATGCAGCAAGCTAAAGCTGATGCAAGTCTTTTATTTTTTCCTATCTCTTTTCTATATGGGTTGTCAACAACTCGGCCAGCAGGTGTCAGAAACTGTGGCAGAGCACCTCAAAGGATGCCTTACTGTAAAGCTAAATAAAAACCCTAATTCACATACCTCACCCGGCCCAGACACGGAACAGATTGGCAGATTGATAGCTGAAGACAGCTTGATAGCTTTAAAGTGCTGCTTCACTTTTGGTTTTTCCTGAGAACAAAGATTTTCCTCTTAAGTTGACATTTTGGATAATTTTCTTTATTCTTTATGTACACATTTTAATCAGGACACTGTTTATATAAATTGGTTTAGTTTAATGACAAACTGCATTACTTTTTCAGACTGAGTCTCTGTAACCTGTCAGAGGCAAACTGTGAAGCTCTGTCCTCAGTCCTCAGCTCCCAGTCCTCCAATCTCATAGAGCTGGGCCTGAGTAACAGCAACCTGCAGGATTCAGGAGTGGAGCCTCTGTCTGATGGACTGAAGAGTCCACACTGTAAAACTCTCAGGTCAGATCAAGTGAGATACATATCTCATTATATATCTAACTGTCACAATCAATTAAAGATTAAAGAGGAAAAAATAGCATTAATACTGCTAAATGTCATAGTTCTTTACTCCTGATTACCCTTTACCAGGTTTTTTGTTGTTGTTGTTTTTGTTTTTCAGAGTGATGGGCTGTAACCTCTCGGAGAGAAGCTTTGAAGCTTTGTCCTCGGTTCTTAGTTCTCAGTCCTCTAGTTTGGGAGAGCTGGACCTGAGTAACTCCAATCTCACAGGAGCGAAGCGTCTTTGTGATGGACTGAAGAGTCCAAACTGTAAACTCAATACTCTTAGGTCAGACCAAACTATATATATATTTTTTCAAATGCTGACAGAATTAATATATATATATATATATATTTTTTAGCCAAAGGAATGACTGGGTCCAGAAAAATACAGGATTAAATATTGCTAAAATAATAATACAGCATTCCAATTTAACAAAAAGGTTATTTTTTTCATGTTTGTTAATCTGTTATTTTTCAGACTGAGTCACTGTAGCCTCTCAAATGGAAATTGTGAAGCTTTGTCCTCAGTTCTCAGCTCCCAGTCCTGCAGTCTGAAAGAGCTGGACCTGAGTAACTCTGACCTGAAGGATTCACAAGTGAAGCTCCTGTCTGATGGATTAAAGAGTGCAAACTTTAAACTGGAAACTCTCAGGTCAGTTTTCAACCTTTTGCACTGATTATCATTTAAAATCTATATTCAATTGTTCTATAAAAAAGTGAACCTTTAAAAAATTTTGTTAGTCTTTAAATTATTGTTTGAGATTTTTCAGAGTCACATTTTTTTTAGTGATTCAAAGAAAATTACTTAGCACTGCTAAAGTTAGAGATATAGGGTCATTTGTCCATATTATATTTTTATTAAGGAAATATTCAAAACAGATGTGTAGGGATTTATTATTTTTCTTAATGCAAAATAATCTATTTATTAATGCCACATCTCTATATAAAACTTTAAGAATCTATACATTTTAACACTCTATTCCCCAATAAAGCTCTCATAAAGGACGATTATAATAGAATTCTAACAGAAATCTGATGAGCAGCATAATTAATTAAATATAGCTTTAAAAACACACTGGATAATGTTGGTTATGAGTTTGTTTTCCTTTGGAATGTTTTTGAACGTGGATTGAAAAAAAAATATGTAGAACTTTAAAATCAATATTTACTTACTGATGAAGCTCAGTTCAAGCTGGATTAGTCGACACTGAATCATCCCTTAGTTATGCTGCTTTAGGGTCAGGCTTTTAGTAGAGTTCCCATGATGATCTGCTTTCTTCTCCATTCCCTTATTTTTACCCCTGATGCTTTTATGTGCCACTGGGGCATGTGCTTATCTCTCTCCTTAGTTTGTATTTTGTTTATTGTTTTTTTTTTTTTGTCAAAATAAAGTATGCATAGATAAAGCAAAATCAAATTGATTATATATATATCCATTCAATTTAATTTAGCTTTATTTATACACAGACATATTGAACAATGTTATTGTATCTGAAATACAGAAAATCCTTGTTCACAGATGGATTGTTGTTTTGTGTGTCTGCAGTCTGTCAGGCTGTCTGATCACAGAGGAAGGCTGTACTTCTCTGGCCTCAGCTCTGAGCTCCAACCCCTCCCATCTGAGAGCGCTGGACCTGAGCTACAATCATCCAGGTGACTCAGGAATGAAGCTGCTGTTGGCTGGATTGAAGGATCCAGGCTGGACACTGGACACTCTCAGGTATGGAGAGAATGTCTGATAGAGGAGGAAGAGCTGGAAACATTTCCTGTGGCCTTCGCTCACTTCCTGTTTGTTTCATACACATGTCACATGAAACGATCCATAAAGGATAGGTCTCCAGGGAGACCAACATATCTCAGTATTATTAACAGTTCAGATTAAGGAAATATTTATCCCAGAACACAACAACCGCTGGAACCAGAAGGAACTGTTGGGCTTGCTTTATCAAAAGAATAAAATCATTATTCTGTTTTTTAGAGCTGTGGTAGAAACTGAGAACTACAGGGAGATGTTCTCTGTAGACTAAAAGAAAAGCAGCCCTGCAGTGCTTTTCATAGACAAAAGTAGCAATGTGATTTTAAAAGCCAATACACGATATACAATAATGGAACTGGAAACAGTCCAATGTCTTGACACAAAGTGAATCATCCAGGTAAGTTATTAATCCTTTATTTATCCAGGTAAAAAATCTCATTGAGATTAAAAATCTCATTTCCAAGAGAGACCTGGCATCATAGCAACAAAAGTCACATACCACATAGGTATATAACATTTAAAACAAATACAATATCCCATACAAACATGTGTAAAATATACAATAACAGATCAAATACAAAAAGAGTACATTAAAAACAATCACACTGAGTAAAAGAGTTGTTCTCTTGTTCCTTTAAGACAGACTTAAACTCTCCCAAGGTAACCAATTCTGATAATTTCAGTTTCAGTTCTGATAATTTCAGTTCCTTCTGCAGATTATTCA